TTCCCAGCACCACTTGCTGAACAAATTTTCTTTGTTCCATTGTATCTTCTTTGCTCCTTTGTCAAAAATTAGGTGTCCATAAACTCGTGGGTTAATATAGATGTTAAAATATTTTAAGGTGCTTTTTTGGATTTTTTTTTATTATAGATGGGATATTATTTGAGAAAATATAAGAACAAAACAGAAATCAGAACTTTTCTGAAATCCCATCTCCTATGTATTTAGACAATTTTAAGTATTTCCCTAGTACTTTTTAATGTGTATATGTACATATTTTTCCCCATCAGCCTGCTCTCGATGTACAATTTTCTTTTCTTCATTGTTTTACTTTGACAATATATTACAAGTTTTTTTCTCATGCCACTTAAATCTTATTCCAAATGGTGATATAAGGTTTTATTACATGTATGTGGTATACTTAAATAAACCATATACTTATTATTGGTCATTTAGGTTATGTGCTCACATTTTTCCCCCAATTAATGTTGCACTAAATATTTCAGTATATTATCTCCATGCATTTTTGTTTCCTTACTACCAGCATGTGATACTAGAACTCAAAATAATAAGAATATTTAGAAATATTATGCCAATTTAGACTATTACAAGTATTTGTATTATCTTGAAAAATTCTTTCCTAACTCCATAGAAAACAAGCATTTTTCTTTCTTTTTGTGGTAACATAAATCTTTTGCAGATTTATAAAACTGCATATGTTTTTCTAACCTAAATTTTTGATAAGATTTTATATTTTGCATACTTATGGGGCCACTTTAAAAATTTTTAAATTTCATGTTCTTTGCTCATTTTTCTTTTTTTTAGGAATTTTTTTTAAAAAGATGTATTTATTTATACATACAGAACTGGGGTACAGGCCAGAGGTCCAGGGGCGGTGAGTGGACTCACCAGAGACAGAGTGGGGAGCAGAACAGGCAGATAGAGGCAATACACTGCTGAGGGGAGCAGTGGGCGGGTCAGGAGAGGTCTGCTGCGCCTTGTCACATGGATCACCTGCAGGAGGGAGATCAAACTCATTGCAAAGCAGTTGTAGCTTAGGTGTACTGCTGCGCTTTAACCCGTTGTGCCACCAGAGAGGGTCCTTTACTAATTTTTCTATGTAGAATACTTTACTGTAATTGTTTGGTAAGAACTTATTCTATATTAAGGTATTAACTCTTTGCTGTACTTTAAGAAAAAAAAAGATTTTTATTTACTTAGGGAAAAAAGAACTGGGATGTAGGCCAGAGGCGGGGTGGAGGGAGGATGAGAGGTTCACCAGAGACAGAGTGGGGAGCAGAACTCCTTGCTGTCTGTTTTTGGTAAAATGCTTTTCCAGTTTGTCTTTAATCTTTTGGTTTTATTTCTTTTTTAGACAAATATGGCCTTTACGAAGTCAGATTTAACCTAATCTTTCATCATAATTCTTTGTTCTTTTTATTTTTATAGAGGCTAATTTCACTATAGGGAAAAAACCCCAAATATCATGTGAAAGATTTAAAAATACAAAATTGCTAATTTTTTTAAAATATTTTTTAAAGGCAGACATAAAACATCTATACATTTGATAGACACAGGGTTGTATCTGTCTGCACTAATGAAAAATCGGTGTCGAGCATACTGGCTGGTATAAAGTACACAGCAAATCAATACTTGTGGGATGAATTAATTTCTCTCATTGGATTAAAGCAGTATTTACCAAAGTATGTGTCTTAGAACATGTATTCTGTAAGTGCTCCACAAAAAAAGAAATGCCTGGTCAGGTAAGTTTGGGAACTCTACCAACAGATATTCCCTTTACATTACTCCTCATGGCACAACAGCATAACAAGGCCTCAGGAAATTCTGACAGAAAAACCCATGAAGTTAGTTCTAAAACCAGTCGTTCCATACTTGTATATTTGTGTGTTTTGACCTTGGGCTTCCTACTTCTCTCCCCCTTTACACTCCTTATCATCCTGGAAACGTTATGCTGGGCCACACTTGAGTCAACACTGACCTGTATATAGCCAATGGGGGCAGAGAGAAGGAAAACACTGTTTGCCAGTCCCTGCTGGAGTGATGAGTCTAAGCATCTACCTGATGATCTCTTTGCTGTTTTCTCTCTTTTTCCCCATTGTCAGGGTTCTAGCTTATTCCTATAACCCCAATGATGGCTGTGGACATAGAGTATAGATACGGCTGCATGGCCCCTTCGCTACACAGAGAGAGGTTCACCTTCAAGACCTCACCGAAGCCAAGCAAGCCTCTGAGGCCTTGTATTCAGTTGAGTCGCAAGAATGAAGCCAGTGGAATGGTGGCCCCAACCATCCAGGAGAAGAAGGTGAAAAAGCGGGTGTCCTTTGCAGACAACCAAGGCCTGGCCCTGACAATGGTCAAAGTGTTCTCAGAATTTGATGACCCGCTAGATATTCCATTTAACATCACTGAGCTGCTAGACAACATTGTGAGTCTGACGACAGCAGAGAGCGAGAGCTTTGTTTTGGATTTTTCACAGCCTTCGGCAGATTACTTAGACTTCAGAAATCGGCTTCAGACCGACCGCGTTTGCCTTGAAAACTGTGTGCTGAAGGACAAAGCCATTGCAGGCACCGTGAAGGTGCAGAACCTCGCCTTTGAGAAGATGGTGAAAATAAGAATGACATTTGACACTTGGAAAAGCTTCACAGACTTTCCCTGTCACTATGTGAAGGACACTTACGCTGGTTCAGACAGGGACACGTTCTCCTTTGACATCGGCTTACCTGAGAAAATCCAGTCCTATGAACGAATGGAGTTTGCTGTCTGCTATGAGTGCAATGGACAGACGTACTGGGACAGCAACAAAGGGAAGAACTACAGGATCATCCGGGCTGAACTGAAATCCTCTCAGGGAACAGTTGAGCCACAGAATGGAGCAGATTTTGGCATATCCTTTGACCAATTTGGAAGCCCTCGCTGTTCTTACGGTCTGTTTCCAGAGTGGCCTAGTTATTTAGGATATGAAAAGCTGGGACCCTACTATTAGTGACTGCATTGGGGAAGTGTGACAAGTCCATGCAGAAAAGCCTTGCTGCTGTCACAGTGGGATGGAGACAGAAGCTGAGAGGAAAGTTGAACTGCCATTAGGCACCGTTTTTGAAAGGAAAGGATCCTTTTCACTTTTTTCTTCAACCAGCGCATCCAGCCAAGTCCAGATCACAGACCCGGCTTCCCACCAGGAGAGGATGCGGTATGCTGGGCTGTTGGGCACCGTGGCAACCAAGAGGGTCCAGGCAGGATGGTGACGGGAGGGGTTTGGACAACACCCAGGCCTGTGGGCAGTGGCTGGAGGGTGGTGACTGAACAGTGGGCAATCGGGAGTGTGTGAGCTACCCGAGGAGCCGCTCTCTCCCTGGACGGGAAAGCAGTCACCTCATATCACTCCAGCCCTGGCTACCTCCCACTGGACCCTGGCCATGTGTCTCCAAGCGTCCTCCTCCCAGTCAGGCCCTTCCTGCCTGTCACTGCTGCTGTTCCTTGTCCACACAGACTTCATCCTTTAACTCTGTGCACTGCTTGCATTGTACTTAACACCACGGTTCATCTGATGTTCAGGAGAAGACCATGAAAGCAAATTAGCTTCTGACGGAGACAAACGTGTGTGCTTGTGACCCCACATGTGTGTGTCAGTAGAGGAGAATACAGCAGGGACAAAGGGAAGTGGCCCCCACAGGGTGCAGGCAGGACAGTCGGGTTGGGGGAACACCGTTGGCCCTTCCTCTTGGCTTTTGGGGGAGCTTTCTAAGCATTCACTCTTCCGAGAGTCACCAGCCAGCTCAGTTACAAGATTTGTTTGAACTTGCCTGGCAGGTTTGCAGGTGCCTGTTCTTCACAAAAGGAGCTTAGATCTCCTTTCCTGGAGAGTCTCTGTGTCTGCTACGTTCAGGACATTTTTCACCTGCAAGTCCTGTCTCTATCCTCAGAGCCTTCAGAAAATGGTTTTATTTTGACTGTGATTTACAGTGCCTAGACACTTTACCAGGGCCCCAGGACTCCTGTTTGGGTGTCTGTATTTATGGGATTTGAGTTATATAAAGGGATAAAGAAGAAAAATCTTACCAAGTTCTTGGTTTGTGTGAAATGCTGGCCATCTCTGAAATATCAAAGCTTAATTGTTCTCAACTACATTGGACTAAAGAATCAAGTCATTGGTTCATGCTGTTGGGAGACCCCTGGGACTTTCACTGTTAGATGGATCCCCAAATCCTGTGATTTTTTTCTTGGGCAAGATTGGTTTGTACTTGGGGTTGTTTATTAAATATTTTTACATGTGTATTTGTAGAAGGGTAGGGTTTTTTTTTTTTCCTCCTACTGTTTTTGTTATTGGTGCTTGGTTAAATGTCTCATTTTCCTTATTTCTGACCTTACTAAAGTAAGGGGTTTTTATATGGGAGGCAAGAAGTTGAATGGCACAACTATCAGCCTCTGCCAACAAACAGTGTTCTTTTGTTTGTGTTTGTCAGATCAATTTTAAAAGCCCTCCCAGCTTCAGTAACTTGTCAGACAATCATGCAGTGCTTTGGTTCCTAGAATTTTATGGTTGGGGTTTTTTTTTTTAAGTTTAAAATATTTTGATTTTTTTAAATGCTCTTAAGTGGTATTCAGTGTAATTCGTGTTCTTAAAATTAACTGTTACTAGCCTGCAATCTAGTGCTTTGTTCTTCTGTGCCTCTCCCAGGTAGCTGGCATTCTGGGATTACATGGTGTGTAGGGAAATCACATTTTAGCCTGTGCTGAAAGTGGGCAGAACTGTGTTGTTGCTAAGCATTCTTTACATCAAGCACATAGGCAGTACTTTCCATGTTACAAATCAGAACTATTAATAGTGTTGATCTACATCTAATGGAAGCAAAGTAAATTTTATAGATAGGTCATGAGTTTATTTTAAGAAGTCTCCTCCCTCCAATTCAGGAAGGGTACAGGGTACACTGTCACTTACATGTTACCACACTAAAGATAACAAGATCATTCTATGTTCACAAGAAAGATACCTAAAGTGTCTATAGAATAAAGCTTGTTTGATATTCAGTAATAATGACCCTAAGACATTCCTGTGTCAAAATCTGAAATATGGTAATTCAGTGATAAGTATCTCTTCTAGAATCACCATAAACCCTCTCCCCTCCCTTTCTTTGCTCCCTGCTTTTTTGCTGGGAGCACTGGTTGCCAGCCCCCAGCCTGCACCTGGGAAACCCACCAGGCAAGTCCTCACCTGTTGCAAAACCCTTCTTTGGCTAAGAATCTGGTGCCTCACATCATTGTCAGAAGCCTTGATATTTAGTGACGGCAGCAGCAGCTAAAAGATACTGTGTTGTATTTACTAATCATCGTTCTCTCTTTGGTCCAGTTCTATCCCAGGGTATTATCAGGTGACCTCAGAAACCTTATTGCACAGCCCACTGCAGCTAGGTCATGACTGTCACTCTCTTCAGAGAATACCTGGCTTCTTGCTGGAGACTTCCTGCAGTCTCAAATGTAGGTTGACTCCCCTACAGCTCTTGGTGATGAGGGCAAATGACCCGGAGTCCTGGTGTGCTCCCCAGAGCTCTGGAAGCTCCAGGCTCCTGCTGCTGGTGTGAGCTACCCAGGAATGGGGAAGCTGCTCTGTTTTTTCTTTTACATTTATTCCCCCAAAGGCCCTGGGAAGCCTTTGCAAATTAGGTGCAATAAATAAGCTGAACTTCCTAAAGATATATCATAAGTAACCTCTCAATGTTTCTTGGAAGGTAGGAAGCATTTAGTTGGATATCTTTCCTTTTTATTTTTTTGTAAGTATTCTTGTTATAGGGCAGTTGGTGAAAAGTAATGGACTTATATAGTTTTCTAGAAATTAAGCCAATTTCAGAGTCCAGGTAGACATCATTTTATCGCTAAAATTTCATTTCAATAGTGGCAAACCATTACTCTTTCACTGTATTTTTTTTCAAGATGTCAATTTTGAACTCTAAAAGATTGTGATTTCAATGTTTGCATTTAATTTGCTTTTTAAAAACAGGCATGACTTGTAGTCACTTAGATATTAAATAATGGGTTACATATACATACATATGTTTGTAAACCAAAAATGTGTTTGCTCATTTTTTCAGAGGTGCCCGTTTTCTGGGACTTCCCTCTCCATAGACCATGAAAACAAACCATGGTCGTTTCTCATTGGTTTCGATTGTGAGGTGTCTCAGCTGCTTGTGGTTTACAGGAATGCCTCATGGCTCTGTATCTCCTGCTAGGATCACTACAATTAGGGGTAAGAAGTTTCATGAATAATGGGATCTTACAGGTCATCCAAAGACAGTGTTGGTAGCTTCTCTGCATTTTTTGCAGTGCTACACCTCTGGGGTAGAGAAGGAGCGCTGTGGTTTCACAGCTTTCCTGGGTGATGACTGTAAAGCCTTCAGCCCAAGTGGTAAAGCTGTGAACATTTGTACAGTGTTGTTTATCAGTTCCTTGAGATTGCCAGATGTGTAAGGATTTCAAGAACACAGCAATGACACTGCGGTTTCACTTTTACTTCAGTAGTGTAGAACGGAAGACTCATCTTCATTCATTGCCTAAAAGTGCCTTGTCAAAAGATTTCCATGTTTTGAAAAATAAATATTTTTGTAAACAAAGTGAAAGGGGAAATGCACTTTACAATCACAAGGATGGATGTATTTTGTGTGGTGGAAGCGAGTGGTTTGTATCTCAATCACAAATGTAATAAAGGTAGAAAAACAAAACTGAAACTAGCCTTTTTTTCTGAAAGCGATTTTATTTAAATAAGGTTTAAATACGTTATATAACATCAAAACTGAAGGGAAAAAAACACACCCAAATCCAGTTTCGATTTCCCCTGGCCTGAGGCAGCTGCCACAGGTAAGTTGTATCCTCTACAGCCAGCCCTACCCAGCATAGCATCTTGAAAAATGTGCTCACGGCCAAATGACTGATATAAAACTGGCCTCTCGTTCTGGTGCCTGGACATGGGTTAGGCTCTATCTAGTTAACATTTTTTTAAGCGGACTTTATTCTTGGAGTCAGAAGCTGGGAAGAAGTATTTTCAATCCATCTATTTCCCCAGATAGCAGGCCTCTTCCCAAAGGGGCGGCTCACATCCCGTGGCTGAGTTGAAGCAGTGTGGTGCCAGGGAAGGTGAGTCTTTGCCTTTTAAGTCGTGACACAGTGGAGGTGGTTCATAGCGGAGAAGTACACACTGAGGAAGAAGCACAGGGGTCTGGGTTGACCCAAATCCATTGTTTTCATCATTTGGGGGCACATGTTCTCCTACCCTCTCTCTCTCTCTCTCTCTCTCTCAGCGTAATTTTGGCTTAGAGCATCAGACAGCAGAGCTCTGAGGCTGTGGTAGCTTTTATTAACCTGCTTAATCAGACAAACTCTGTAACTGGCAAAATCAACCATCTCCGAGTGGGAGCCCTTCCTCCCCATTGGGTATCTGACACACCCTCTCAGTCAGATTTCCAGAGAGGTTTTATTTCAAAATTTGAAGGATGGGCTAGCATTGGAGTTAAACTACCATCGAGGTTGCCTGGGCCAGACTGGCCTGGCTGTGGTGATTCTGTGGTTTGAAGATGCCGTCCCCACCAGGGGATGTGTGTTAAAGCTGAACCCCCAAATAGTAGATGCAAAACGCGAGCTACCTAATAGCTGCATTCTCAAGGTTGTCAACAACTTGCCTTCGCAGAAATGGCAAGTTGAAAAACAACACTGGGTTTTATGAATACCTAGTAGAGAGAAGGTGGGGTTTTCCTAATCACTACATATTTCTTATTTGTGAGACATATTTGGACTAAAAATTTTTTAAAAGCGTTTTCCAGAAAAATGCCCCCATATAATAGATAATCCAGCTCTCTCGATAATTCATTTGAGCACTGACTGACCAACCATAAGCAAGGCAGTGTCAGGGACTTTTCTGTCCTGGGAAAGATGTTCAAGTTTTAGGTCAGTCCCTTGGGAGCCACAAAAAGCAGTGTGTTCTGGTATCCAAAGGGAACAGGCAGTGGGAGCCGGGCTCCTCCCTGACCCTGCCGTCCCCATCAGCCGCTCTACTGAAGGAGCTTCGTTTAGCAGCATACAGCAACTGATGTCTGTATAGCCTGAAAGCCTTTGAAATCAATCAACACGTTCATTTTTCAAATGCTGCTGAATATAAATCTGTAAGAAGTACAGTGACACTATTTGAATTCTGCATACACATCACAGGAATGAACAAGTAGCATTTCAGAGAATAGCTTGCACTGATAAAACCATCAGTGCTGGACCCTCCTTGGGGGCACAACAGGTTAAAGTGTTCATTGTGAGGCTATCACA